TCTTGGTCTGTGTTTTCCTTCCTCCATGGTCTCATTGTGTAGTCGACTTGGGCCGTATATTACATGTAGTTTCAAAGTCAAATTCAGATTCAAATTTCTACAATCCTCTTCGATCCGCCACCTTCGGAGACAGGTTGAGTATTAACTGTCTAAGTCTGCAGCTACATGTATTTATCTTAGCAAATTAATTAAAAGTGATACACTAGCCATGCAAAAAATGGTAGAGCGCGAATGGCCGACCGTGCCACAAATTGTGTCATGGTCCAACGAATCTGTTGTAAAAACAGAAAGCACAGGTGAACTCACGGTGAGGTCTGTTGGTTGGTTTGGGCAGCGGTTGCCTAGTCGTGGTGACTGTGCTGTTGCTAAATTCCGGGAACCTGCAGACGGAACAATCCTCACCGACGAAGCCGCGGCAGCATTTCATCTCTCCAGAGCAGTCACTGTCCCTGGAGCAATTGTGCGTGGACCAGCTACTGCAACCACGCCTAAAGGTGTAACGGGGCGCCGGGCACTTACCATCCTTCACGGTGTCTGTCAAAAGAAAATTGAAAGGAAATGATGCAGTGCTCATTCAACTATTACAGTCCATCTGTACATTGATGCTAATTTCAAGATATAGGTGAGACTTCAGTGTTTATACTTTTTGGATCTATCCATACCGCTAATAGGGAGGATTACCATCTGCTCTCAAAATAAGCTTCTATGAAAAATTCAAGCGAGTCACTCATTTCTGTGTTTGTCCGTACAACGGACTGTGAACATCTGTCAACCTTGTCCTCATGCAAACGGTGCTGAACAGTGACGAAATGTAATTGTAATGACATTCGCTATCATGGGAGGACAGAGCCTATCTTTGTGATCTATAAAATACATTAAACAACAACGAACCTCATTATCCACATTTCTAATTTACATTTTGGGGAAGACTTGTTAACCCCTTAATTTAAGGCCGGGATGCCCAGTAAAAGCCCAGGCCAGCAGCAGACCCACATTTAAACCGCAGGTGCATGATGAATAGAATGTGCGTGCAGATGCACTAATCCTCACACAAAGCCGCGGCTGTTGATCTCCCGGGAAGTTGTCTTTCTAATAAAGAAAGGTCAAGGCTGTTTTGTTATCAAAAGCTCGTGCTTGAACTGAGACTGTGCATAACAGTAATGGTTTTAGTGGGGTTTTAGTCAAAGTGCGCTCACCGGTGCATATAGTCTGCAATTACAAGAATTCGCTTGTCAAAATAGACAAGTCTGTCTTCATCTTGTCATTGTTTTGCCCTTCATCAACATAATTAATAGAACATACTTTATGCTCAGTGCTTTCCAAGAGCTTGTAATTAAAATCACGCATTTTCTATCGGTGGAATGTGAATCCACAACCTCCCGCCTGCTATGCGCTCTTTTCACTCGACCATCGACCTGTGTCGTGGGTATGTGGCTGGGTCGAATCGATAAAGCAATGGTACATGCAGTTCTGAATACTGCAACTATTTACCACTCCTGATGAATTTTTCACAATACCTTGTCATTCTGACAAACAGAACTATTATTTTTTTCCACTGACAATAGCTACAAGTAGTTATTGTCATAACTAAGATTTTACACCGTTTGAAGTTCACTGTTATTGTAACAATCTTGTCTTGTGGCACAAAACCTTGTCGATATGACAAACGGAGCTTTATCAACTGACTTAGCATATCTTGTCATTATGACCAGAACCAATACTTAGTGTACATTATAAGGATTGCAAATCATCAAGTATGTTACTTTTACTTGAAATTGACTTCTGGAATTCGAACGTTAGAATTAGGGTTGAAGCCCCAAATTCAAAATCGTTTGTCACATGTCTTCTGAAAGGATACTTTCATAAGAAATTAAGGAAAACATCGTAGTTACAAAACAAATTGCAAGATTTTTTGAAATGGAGGTTAGTTTTTTTTTTAAAAAGGGAAGGTAAATTGGACAAAGTTTAGCGGAATTACTTTTTTCATAAGATATCCTAACATTTGCTTTAAAGATAATCACCCTGCTAATAAATGTATAAAGACAAACAGATCGTTACATGAAACACGTGTCAAATACATTGTGGAAATGTATTTTTACTTACAAGTTTGCCCGTGTACGGCGCACACCAGAGCTATAAACACAGCCAACAGCGTAGTTCTTCCCATTTTCTTTTACAGCCAAGTTGTGACGGTAAGTCTTTCAGAGCGACTTGTAAATGCAAATACCCGTATCCCAGCACAGCGTTTACTTTTATATCGTCACTTGAACACCTACAAAAATACAATACCTGCAAAAGATATATACTTCACCACCCCCCCCATGTACATTATTCATATTCCTATATGTATTGAACGTGGTGGTACAGCCAAACACTGTTTGAAGCTCTCTCATTGGCTGTGACTGACGTCAGCGTGAACTATTCAAGTTCACCTTTTGTTATTTTGTTTACGCGGTGACAGGCAGTGTCTCGTGTTGCTTAACGGGGTTGCTCATTGGTTGTTAGTGACATCATAGATTTAATTAGATATCAAGCGGGCTAGTGAACATCTGTCAGTGTCACGGGTCCAGTACATGACGCTCGAAATATCGGAAACTGATTTGAATGATAAAATGGCATTAAAACAAATAAAAAGGGTGTAAAATGAAGAAATAAGTGAAAAAATTCCCTAAACTAGAAATGCAACTGGGAATTTAAACGTAAGTCCTCAATGAAGCAACGAAGGGCAATAATTTAAAACTAAATGACGGAAAGAGGTGTTCAACGCAGTGACAATGAAAGAAAGGAATTTTAAATTGCCACCAAGATACGTGCGTAAAATAGATTCCATCTAACTGTATTCGACTCATAATACACTGCTCATCTTATCTATTTTATTTTGCATGGGGAATAAATTATTTAGGGGTACCTTGTACATGTACATGTAGTACACTTGGTCTGAAACGGCTGTGCGATTATCAATGACTCATACCCATCACTGATATGCACGTGACCTGCGCCATTCCGTCAGGCTCACATGATGGTTGCAGCGTAAATAGCCTTCACCATGGTAACATGCAATGGTGTACTGAAGTCACAATCTTTTAATAGGCAGTTTTTAGTTATGATATTTCGAAATGGACCGCCTCTGGTTTCTTTAAGTAGATTGGAATAGCTAGCTAAAGAAAACGTCGATCGGAGTTTTCTGAGTATATCATTGTTATGTTATTGGACAGGGATTACTCACACATTGCATACAAATCTTCTTGCTAATTTTTTTTAGTGTAAATTAAGAAGGTAACTCGTTTGTCTGTTTTTTTTAATAGAATTTTTTCAGGCAGTTTATAAAAACAAAGCTAGGAAGAGCGGTATCCATTTTCACTTGCTTTAAGAAAAAATAAATGCTCCCCTTGATTTCATGACCTGTGAAAGTTTTATCAAATGGGACTACCTTTCAGAGCACAAGAGGCCTCATACAGACCACTCATATTTTGCCTACAACTTGTATGGACGGCCTAAGTTTGCAGAAATATCTCCCATTGGAAGGTTTTTAATTTTACCTCAAATTTGTTCAAAATGGACATCTGTCCCATTAATACTCTATGAATTATTCTTCATCTTTGGACCGACGACCAGCCATGGGGTTTAGCAGCTGCTTACAGGAAAACACGACTGTGACGTCAACAGAGCAGACTCTATTATCTGTATTAAGAGACGGGCGTTGAATCAAGCCCCTTCAAGGGCGGATTCGGAGGTGGGGGCACGAAGGCCATGTTCCCCTTCCCAAAGCAGCCTTTTCAATGAGAGAGAGACCTGTGTCTATATTATTTCCTTTCCTTTAGTAAGTCTGTAAAAAGCCCAAAATGTAGTTTTACTTCTCAGAAAGGCCATAAAAGGTTACTTTAAAAAAATGCCAATTTACATGCCCAAAATGCAATTTTTGTCACAACCAAGTGTCTCTGTGAAATCGGGGTAATCTCACAACGCACGTTCTGCCAACACTTTGAAGTTTGATTTTTGATTTGAGGCGATAGGTACCACAATTTTTTTCACTGACCGTGCAAAAAAAATGTAACTGATTTATGGAGAATTAAAGAAAGTGCCTCGGGCTGAAACGTTTCTAAACCATGAGCGTCTATTAAGTCTATAAATCACAAAATATGAAGGGCCTGACGTTTCGATCCAAGCAGAAAAGGCATTTGTATTTTAGGTCATTGTTGTCAGCAAGCAGTTTGCAGCAGTTTTGTATTACTTATATTTGGAAGTCTATAAATCATTGATTACATGAAGAAACAGAAAACGCCCCACGTTTGAAGATTTTCGCCTCTCTGAAAGTTCAAATCAAAAACCTCTAACACAAAAACTTTGGTGTTGTTCTGAGCCTAGGGCAATTGTAGGCTTTACAGGTGCTATGTATGCATCTATGATTATTCGATTTGTGTAAAAGTAACGTCAGCAAAAATTCACACAACAAAGGTGTAGGCCTATTTACATTTTAAGTAAGAAACAGATTTTAAATGAGACTTGTAGGTTTGCATGTTGGCCATAAACAAGGTGTTGAAAGTTTGAGGGAACACAATGGAAGCCAATCTGTTTTGTCAGATGATAAGAAACAGTTGTTTTAAGTTCACATTTCGATCAGGTGTGCTATGCTCGTCATCCGGATTCTGCTTTTCAGGACTTACGATTTGTTTTAGAGGCCGTAGTTTTAGGTGGTTTAAATGTCGCTCGGACTGGTGGCTCAGGTGGCATGCAAACATAGCAATCGGTTATCATGATTCGCCAGGCGTTACAACATTTCTGACTGCCCGGACACTGACTGTCGTTGGAACACAGCTTCCCACCGAAAGGTGGGGGGCAGGTTTCACTCCATCGAAACTGGGGAGATGGGCATGTCCCTGGCTTTAACCCTGTGAAATAAAGAATGGAATAGTCAGAAAAATAGCGTAATTCTTTCCTAAATTAGGAACATTCCAGGTGTAGTCCTTGAGCGAAAATAGTAAGAGTGAAATTTAATTAGAAATCGGCGAGTCCAAGTGCTGCAACTTTGCATCAACTCTGGAAATTACAAAGTAAAATTGCGTAAGTTCTTAGTTGCCTTACCATTTGCTTCCTGGGCATATACAACGGTAATCAGGGCCGTCACTAGCAGGCCAATCACAAGCCAATTCCTCTGCATCTTCCGCGTATTCTCAGGTATAACACGCGCACTGCTGTACTCAAAATGGACGAATCGACACTTCGACGGTCGCTTTATATAAATCCCTGAAGTCCAGGAGTAGAGTCGAATCAAGGTTCAAGAAGTGTTTACTGCATGGTTCTGATTAACGCAAACACGAGCAATATCTCTGTCGAAACACAAAGTTGACTTCTGCTCGAACCTTTGTTTCCCATTCTAACGACAATAATGAAGTCGGCACAAAGTTCAGCCCTGCAAATTTTCCCGTGTTAAAACGATGCATGTTTTTTTAATGCTGGACCCACTGAGTTTCTAGGATAATGCCTTCCGCATGGTTTGACACCATCATTGTGACAATTTAAAAAGAGCTCACATACGGCGTTGTGAGATAATAATACGTAATTGTGTACACCGTCTACTGATTATGCTGAAACTTGGCGGTTGAGGAATCATATACTGTAAAGATGTCGGTCAACTTTGGTTTGATATTTTGCCCAATGTAGGTAAAATATCAACTCAGCAACCTTTGGGCAAATTCTTCCCAAAATTGGGTCTATGTTTGACCAACAGTTATGAACACTGTTTTGACCAACTCTTTTTGCAGAGTTTGTCATCGTATGCGCGAGGTTGGCAAAGAGTGGCATTCAACCCTTTCATTTAGCTGGGGAATGAGGGAACCCTGCTCGTTTATGTGTCGTTCTAGCTCTGCACGGAAGAGAACTGTTCCATTCTCAGCTTGTTTCAAAATGGCATTTCAAATTAAGTCTAGTTTCTTTTCCCACCACGGCTCCGTTCAAATTGTGCCATGCATCCACAGGAAATGTGCCCCATCGACGTGGTTTGACTGCACAATTAGTGTGTGAGAACGAACACCAAGATTCGCTGTCCCATGTGCAACACGATACAAGTCACACAAGATGACAGGGTCATCTAAAATATTTAAAGCAGGTATTTGCCAGATAGTTTGTCCCATACTTTGTATAAAGCAATGTTTTCTTTGATTGTACATAATCCTTGCAAAGATTGTGGAATTCGTATAGCACCCAATCCGACTACCCATATAGGTTCTTAATGCAGATGCCAAGCAGCTAGTTGAATAAAAAAAACTTTAAAACTCATGATATATAAAAAGGGGAAAGGAATACCATCTAACAGTAGTTTTCTATATCCTTAATACGGTAATACGAGAGTTAGTTTAAAATTTTCCCAAGTGAAACGGAGTGCCTTCTTATGTTCACATGAAGGTCGCACATCCGTATTTTTGAGGTGCGTAGGCTCGGAATCACTTCACATCCTTCGACCTTTATTTGGGTGATTGCTTTCATGCTTGTTCGTTACTGTCTCTGTGCCATTTTTCCTTGATAAAGATTCTGCCAGGATCAAAACGACAAGTCCTCTAACTTCCAGATTTCCAGATTTCAGAATTCAGTGTTTACACAGGGGCCTATTACGATTCTAAACAAAATCATAGTCAAAGTCTTTTTATTAGCTGTCATTGCAGTTTTTAAATTTGAAATGATAGAATCTTTCATTGCAGGCACTCTGACGATAAAAAAGCCAACTGGGGAAAACACAAGAAATAAAAGCAATTAAATACTGAATATCACACATACCCAAAAGATAATTTCAAAACCTTAGAAATAACTTTAAATATTTTAATTACTTTAGCAAAACCTGAGAAAGCACACGGTAAACGCGACGAGTATAAAGGGACAACTCCCGATCAGTTCACAGAACTCTTGGGTAGTTATTCAGAATACCCGAGATCGTATGCAGCTGGCCCATGTGGAAAATACTGAGGAACGCTTATCGTAGAATACAGACAAAAAGGTTGATCCACGAGTTTTGTCCACGTCCACGAGTGCACGGCGTCAATCCCCTATCATTACAGAAAGATATTTTGGGGTGACATGAAAAAGGGTCATTCTATAAATTTGGGGTCCGACGTGTGACATTTTCCTGTCTCTATTAAATCTGACCTGTGTTATTTGACAAGGGATATATCGCTGAAATTAACTTCAAACTATTTCATTCGTTTGGCAGGCAGGCCCTATTTGCATCCCTGCTTACATAATTACAAAATCATACGCCAGATGTAATAAGGACAGGAAATTTGGACTCCAAATTTACAGATAGATCAATAAAGCGGGCAAGAAAGCTGAACTCAAGCCCGAAATTTGGGGTAGGCTTCAAATGAAAGATGATGTCAATGAAGGTAATCATACTGACGATGGATATTATGTGTCGTAGTATTATTGCGGTATGCCGATTGACTGCACAGTTTGTGGGCATTACGTCATAAAATGAATTACATATTCTAAATTTCTTCTTGTTTCTTGGTTCTTCTTGGTTGAATAACCTACAAACTGGAACAAACCCTAAAACTTCTAAAATGTAGATGCGAGTCGCATCTTCCCTTGTGCATAATTTAATTCGAGTGAAAGGTTACCACGATGATGCATACTAATTTACGGCCGGTACAAATGGCTTGGAATGTCCAACCAGCAAATTGGTTTCGCCAAAGTGTGCTGGTAGGTTGTTGCTGATGATAATTGAGGTCTGGCATAAATAACACAGCGACAATGTGTATGCCTGCACTGCCGTGGAAGCGAAGCAGCTGTTCCAACCGACGTAATCTCGATCTTCTGATAACAATACAACAAAATTGTCCGACTTCACCCCACTATTTCAGACACTGTTGTTACGTGCAAAACAAGCCGATTCCTCTTTGTGGCCTCATTTGTCCACGCATCTAGGAGAATGAAGTTCTTTCGGTTGGTGCTGTTTGTTACATTCATTGCTGTGTGGGTCGGTAAGTGCATGTGGTATTTTCCATCTTTGTATCGCCTCTTCTCCTGTTACGGGTTGGTCCTGTGTACATCGACGGCAGTTTGTTAGTGACCGTGCGGTTACTGACGCGGAACTGTATTCTTCATTTAGACGACGAATTGTCGAATTCACAGTACATGTACTGAATTCGATACTGAAACCCTTCAATGTGGGAAATGCAACTTTCCCTAACCTAATTCTCCAAATTTGGTATAAAAAACATTTGTTTGGTTTGAAATTCCTTTGAGGGATGGAAATTTGTTAAAACAATCTCGGTAGGGGGGGGGCCTAATATCGGAAGAAAAATTGTGAGACTCCCGATAGCCTGGAAGATGGTAGGGAGAGGATCGCTATACCGAGCGACGTATTTTACCAGAACGTATTTTATTGAAGTCCTTCCATATCTGTTCATTGTATGGTCAAGGAAAACTTAAGGAAAAACAGAGGTAATTTGAAATGTAAGTGGCAGAAACATACAGGTTCTCAGTCCTGATTTTGTGAGCCCCTCGAAAATCAAAGTTTTCGTTCATGCAGTTGTGGGTTAAAATTTGAAAAAAAGTACATTAGCTTTGGTCAATTGGTTGTTTCAAGTAATCAAAGCTTGTATCGTCTGTTTCACACTACGGTTTCGCATTTATGATCCATTTTCAATGGCCTTCGACGACACCACAAATAAGGGACAGTTTCAGTTGGTCTCCACTCCATCGTACAGCAAGGGGACCAAAGGAGTGACTGAATTCCATGAATCATTTTTTAGCTAATTTGAGTTGTCAGTTTTGAAACTGGAATTTGCTCACAGACTTTTAAAGGAATGCAGTCCTTTGTAATTTCTCTTAGTTTCAGGAGGACATGTTGGGCAGTGTCCTGCAATCGATGGAAGCTCCAGAGGTACCTGTGTGGAGCTGTGTTCGTCGGATTCCGACTGCATGAGCCACCAAAAATGCTGCTCAAACGGCTGTGGCCACGTGTGTACGACCGTCAAACAACCGCGAATCGGCCACAAGCCTCCGCTGCAGTGCCCGCCGATAGACAGTGGAACGGTCGGTATTTGTACTGAGGAATGCAGCTCGGATGACCAGTGCAAAGCAGGGAAGATATGCTGCAGCAACGGCTGTGGTCATGCCTGTGTCGAACCCGTGGAACCCCCAGGGAAATCTGGAAAATGTCCGGCGGTGGATGAGCGTCGAGACTCGGAGGACAACTGCACCGATGACTGCGGCGTAGATGCGGACTGCGAAAACGATCTGAAGTGTTGCAGAATTGGCTGCAATCATTCCTGTGTGGAGCCCGTACGCGACGCCAATGTCACCAAACCAGGAGTTTGTCCACAGAAACCTCCGGAGTCATTTGGCATTTGCTCTGAGAGCTGTGACTTCGATGGCGACTGCCCCGAGAACCAGAAGTGCTGCAGTAATGGATGCGGACATGCTTGCATGAGCCCCGCCCCGTCTAAGCTCGGTCAGTGCCCGAAGGTTTCTGGTGGCCAAATCGGAGTGTGCTCCGAAGATTGTCAGTCAGATGCAGATTGCCCCGATCAGCAAAGGTGTTGCAGTAATGGGTGTGGCCACTCTTGTATGGACACCACCCAATCCAAGCCAGGCGAGTGTCCTAAAGTACCGGATGGACTGGCGGGCATCTGCTGGGAAGGATGCTCTTCGGATATGGATTGCGAAGGAGTTGGGAAGTGCTGCAGTAATGGGTGCGGCCACGTCTGCGTGGATCCAGTGGTGGTTGTAACGCAGCCGCCTGAGCGGCATTGCCCGTTGGTCAAGGGCGATACCGTGGGCATCTGCGTTGATGAATGCAGTTCGGATAGCGATTGTGAAGCTGCTCAGAAATGCTGCAGTAACGGATGCGGGCACGTTTGTATGGATGCTGATACGACCGCCACAGCACAAGGTAATTAAGGTATATCTACGTTGCACACGTCACGACATAAATATTTGGGATCTCGTTTCGGCCTGCCTCACAGTATGTTTGTCATATCCGATCCTTGTACTTCCCAGACCCTCTTTTGATTAGAACAGCTTATCTTACATCCACAAATCTAAATGGAGCAACGAGAGCCAACCCCCCCGCCCAGAAACAGCAAAATTATTTGGTCTATTTCATTTCCGTGACTTCCAAAAGCTTGTGAAAAAAAACCAAATACAGCCCCATTCCTCAGAGAGACCATAAAGGGTTACATGAAAGAATTTCAGCATTTTCTAGCAACTTACAAACTATTTTGACTCCTCCCCCTCAAAAGTTGGTTCTGGATCCGCTCTTGCTCCTTTGGTTGCTAAATCACTCCTTTTCGCAATTTCTCCAGGTTGCCGACTGGGCGAAAATTATTACACAAATGGAGAAATGGTTCCCACAAGCGAAGACTGTCAGGCATGGTAAGAAAGCTTGGCATGAAGAACGAGCCAAAAACCAAAGAAAGATCAAATCATGAATCATAGATCTAAAGGCAAATGCTTATGTTAAATGAGTATATTCCACCTTGCAGGTTTCGATCACACACCACGTGCAAGTTCAATGGTTTCCACGTCACGGTTTTCTTTGTTTTGTTTTGTTTCATTTTAGGTATTTCACACACTATGTTTTAAGCCTCTATGCAGAATCTTGATTGATTGATCACCTTCCCTATATTGTTATTTTCTTAGATTTTTGCTGGCCATGGCCAGCTGTTAAATCCTGAAGTCAATCCTACAGCGGACTAACAATTGATTTGTGAACTTAGCTATTCTATCAATATGGCTAATTACTATCTGTCCGTGAAATATTCACCTACTTACTAATCAATCAATATTACATGCTTATTTTCAGCCACTGTGAGGAAGGGGAAGTGAGATGCAGTGATTTGGAGTTTTGTGGAAGAGGTAAACGAGCTTTTGTTGTTGTTTGTTTTGGTTGTTTTGAGTTATGTTTAGTACATGCAATGAACTTGTGTACCAAATGCACCAATGACAGTACGATGGCTCAGACATACCCTTATAGGCGGAACAACGGCATGACTGACTCACAAGGTGTCTCAAAGAGTGAACACAAAAATCTTTTTAACAAAATTCATTCCATCGCACACATTTCCAACTTGAACTCGAAAAGTTCCCTTAAAATTATCGTCACATCAAATAAAATAAGTTTTATTCAAATAGTTTGGTATCTCTGTGTCCCTTTTTGTAAATAATAAAGTATGCTTCAGGGCATAGACAGCGGTACCAGGGGGCCACGCAGGTTCCCGTCTTTGGTGTATTGTTTTTCCCCACGCATACCTCACTGCACGTATAAAGCACATTCCCAAATGATTTCATGCATTTTTTTAGTTACCATCAAAGGAGCCGCGGCAGAACTCAGCCCCTGTACTTTTTCCATTTCCCTTTTATACTTACATTTATTATTCAATAATACGTAGTTTCCAGCACATGATACAAAAAACACTTGATTGAACCGAGTTTAAACTGTACACAAAACCTAAATACAACGGATTCCAATGTCACTGCACGGTCGAGATGCGCCAGGACGGACCCCCCCCACCACCACTGTACGTCAAACAAAAATCCATGATTTGACCCTTGAAGTATTGCAATCTGTTTTTAAAAGATGATATGAATTGCAATCGTTTTGAGAAGTGCTTGGCTCTTTGAGGATTGATAACAAATTTATTGAGACTTCACACAGTGCATCTGTATGTTGTTTGGTTTGACCAGGAGTGTTCAACAAGGCCCTCGTTATGCCGCTGGTATTAAGCGCTGCCGGGGTGTTGCTTAGTCTCGCTCTCGTGATTCTGATCGTAAGAGTGAGTATCCCAGACGACAGGTAGTATATCAAGATGTTCAGCAGGTAGCAAAATCCTAACGAAAAAATGAATTTCGGTTCTTAGTTCGCGGAAAAATGAACTTGCATTAATTAAGAGTTGATGGAAACTTTAAAGTTAATATTTTCGACAAAGCTTGGGTGTGAAGTGATGCGTCATGATGGCAAATATTAACTTAAACACTTTTTAAAAACTTAAACACATTTTTTTTAGATTTTAGTTTGCTTATTCTATTCTTCCATATTTTTTCTTTTATTTACAGTGTTTCCTGATCAGAGCAGCGTCAAAGAGGTCACGATACAAATTGATGCACGAGGTAATTCATTATGTTAGCTCAGTTTTCTGTTTTAACAACCATTTATACTTCACACTAGGCCTATCTGTGGAATTTTTTGTGTAAAGAAAAGTCAATATATATTTCAGTGGAAATCTACCACTGTTACCAAAGGGGTCATAAATTTAAACTTGTGTAGTTTCTTCATTTCCAGTTTGCCAATTTTTTTTGTCTCATAACCTACCTCGAATTTTCATCATTGTGACAAAGCGTAGGCCCTATATACAAACTGTACCCTACACATAACCACCCAATGGTTACAATTCCTGATATTACACCATATGTCTTTAACACCAGCTTTTTTGCCCTTTTCCCCTTTGTCAAAGTGATTCATATTTTCCGAAGGGGCAGAGATTATTGTTGATGGTGTTTTAGTTTCAATCATTTTATCATCATTTTGCTATTTTTGATGGAGAAGAAAAGTTTGAAATGAAAGAATAATCTCTGGACATTATCTATTTCTCTCTCCCTCTTTGTTAAATTGTTGTTAAAGGTACCGGAGTTTGAGCCTATTCCAGGTGCCTCTACGAGGAACGCTCTTTAATTGGACCGTGCTTGGGCAGACCCACTTAAGGGAGCTGATGAAAGCCGTAGAGGTCACTACAAATATAATAACTGTGCGTAGCTATTATACGCCCTACTTTTAAAGTATGGTATTAGTTGCTTGGAGAAAGTTGTTCTGGTCTATTTCTCAATCGGTTTTTAATAGGGAATGATTTCTTGGGGGGAAAATATAGCAATGAATGGCCTTCATTCATTTAGACTGTGACGCAGACCTGCCAACCTCACCGTAGGCATTGAGGTTAGGCATTACCACACAACAAATTAAAAGCTAATTCAAATGAGCCTTCAGTTCATTTAAATTTTAATTAATCTATTGTGTGGTAATGCCTGACCTCAGGAAGGAGTACGGCATGTTGGTAGGTCTGGTGACGTATAAAAAGGGGCAAAGCTTCAACACTTTTCCCCTTGATCGGTTTGACGATGTGGATCACTTGGTTATTCGAATGCTGTGACATGTGACAAATGCTGTGAAAATACCTTTTCAAAATTCATTGATACGCTCAATCGTAGGACAGAGCTCAGTTCTTCCATTAGCAGGGAGTAGTGTCATGTGGGTAGAGAAAGACGATTGGAAAGATCAGCATTCTTCAGGGATACGATTTTTCAGTTTTTCAGCTGATTTCAGCTTTTTCTGTTTTGGATTTCAGCTTATTTCCTCACTAGTTGTGTACAAAAGTATAGGAGATTTTCACAGTTCAGCTTCTTAATGCCTTTTTCAGCTGTTTTCAGCTATTTTTATCATTGGTCAATCTCATCCCTGATTCTTATCTTTCGTGTTTTGATGAAAGGAAACAAAGACTCCCATGTCCACGTTTCTTTGTAAGAATTTCATTATTTCTCAAAACTGAACGAATAAAAGCTCTGACAAATAATTTATCAAAGATTTGTAAGCTGCTGGTCTGTCGTCAAAGTGTGCCATCACATCTTCATAATAGCGAATATCCATTGTTCCAGATATATGTATACATATGATGCTACATTTAATTTGGTGGGGTGTATATAAGTCGGAAAGCTATGTTGAATTCCAGAGACTGTAGAACACAGATTTCTCAGTACTGTTTAATTAAGCTAGTCCAGAAATCGTAATTTTTGCAACGCGTTAAGGGTATAGGAAAATATGGGGGGGGGCTGAATACATTTAACATAAAAGAGGGCGCTGATCATGTAATACGTAGTCTGTATACGTCCACGTAAGTTCACTGTGCGCCATTAACCTCTAGACCTTTTCTGTCTCCCCTCCCTTTTTTGAAGGATTGGGGGACCCATTACCAGCTTTCATGCGTCATTACGTCAGTGCACAAGGGGTAAGCTAGACTAAACCGCTTGCAAACCCCTCACACTCAGACTCGAGTCCGACTCGAGTCATAATTTTTGGCAACTCGACTCAACTCCACTCCAGTCCCGACGGGTACATGACTGGACTCGAGTCTCTGCAAGCAAATGACTCGAATCGAATCTCTCATGGAGACTCAACTCGATTACAAGCTCATAAGACACGAGTCTCAACAAACAAGCAAAACTGTAGTTGGCTCGATACTTGTCAACCTAATTTATTTTCAGTAGGCCTAGGCCTATGTCTAAATGAAAATAAAATACCCCAAAAATGAATGATATGCAGTTGTGTTTTTATTGTATTTTGTTCAAAAAGTTGGGACTCAAATTGACTCGAGCTCGGTACTCGACTTGAATAAAGTGACTCGACTCGACTTCTTGAAACAATGACTCGACTCGATTCACAATGCTAAATGACTCGACTCGACACGAGTCACCAAATTTAATGACTCGTTACAACACTGCTCACACTGTATTTAAGCAACAAACCTTAGAGGCTTCAAGTTCCATGAGGTACTTTGATGGGAGGGCCATTAAATGAGGGCGCTCTTTAAATCTTACAAAGTCATCAAAAATATTTCTGTCCCCAAAAATTTGCCCTGTGAAGGATCTTAAAAAGCTTATTTTTCCTATCCCACGAAACGGAAATGTAACACGGTATTGCCTAGTATGTGTTACAGCTTGTCAACTCATCGATACTCTCTACGGTGCTTGCAAAATATCGGTTTCTGTCCTTGTGTTACTGTCTTTTACACTGGATCACTGGTAGACCTACATTATACCAACTGAATCGAAACAATTCTGTATCTTCAGGTCAAAGGCATAAACGTTCACGGGTCTGCAGCAAAACTTTTCGTCGAGCTAAAATTTAGGCGAACTGAAGACGGCGTCGTAAGCAACATTGTGATGTATGGCCATTGGGGGCGCCCTTGAGTGTTTTGTTCGGAGCCGACGATATGCATGCATGTCGTCTGTATTTTCACTTTATTTTCACCACGAAGCTGTCTTTGAACGTTTGATAAGCAATGCCAGAAATGGAACTTGGGATTTTTTTCTGTTCCATCTTAGTACTTTTTGGAGTACAAGGTAAGATGGGTATTCAGTAATTCTAATGGTTTCATCGCGTCAGCCTAGGCCTATAACGCGCTACCTACCCGGTACGTCATTCATGTGCACCTACATTCGGCATGTTGGGGGGGGTGCTCTGGAGGCCGCACCCACCGTTTGAGCAGCGAATGTGCAGGGCAATTATAGAACAATGACAAAATTACCCTGGCTTCGACAAATCAGGAAAAACACAAGTTTCTCTGATGATGTCCAGAGATAGGCCTAACTCCTAAAAAAAAGGAAAGAGTTCCATATACTGACATTGACAATACCTGCATGTAATGCCCTGTGCAATGTACAAACTTTTGAGACTTGTCTGAAAAAACTGTTTTCTACAGAAATTTTTTGAAGTTTCTCACCTTAAGGCTTAATTTCACTTTTTGGGATATGTTATCACTTTCTGACATCTTTCATAACCTTTTAACATGTTTCAGGGAAAATTACTAATTAGTGCTGTTCATGATTATAGAACTCTTACCCTAAAAAATGTCATGAAACCAATTTTCATTGTGATGATTGATGCCTACACTTCATGTAAAATGTATATAAAGCAATTTGGAGGGCTTTATCACATGTGCCAAGCAGGCATTACATTACATTACATGGGATAAGATGGCCGACAAGCCATGTACATACATGTACATATGTTGTCCTGTGTTTTCAGAAATACATACAGTGCATTAGGGGTACTGTTAGTCTTGCTGGTAGCTCTTCTACACATGGTAATGTGAAGTGAGTTACTTACATGTACATGTACATCCTTGTTCCATGTTCACATTCAGTGTTGAACAAGTGCATGTAACTGTTTGATATTCAGCGTTGACAGTATGACATTCAGCAAGCGCTCAGGATGCACACCCTTAGCAAAGACCTTGCCGGCATTCTGGTTGCAACCGCAATGATGGAGTTCGTTTCTGACAAGATATAAGGAAGTTGCCTTAAATTTACCTGACTTCATGTACATGTAGCTGTATGGCATGATTCATATGTGAAATCTGTGTATATGTACATCTGTGGAAGAATCCATGCAGCTTAGGCATTTTTTGCATGCTTCGTACAAGTACCCCCCAAATAAACCTGTTTGACATTCTCATTGCATCATGGGATAGCATGGCAAACAAGTCATGCATTTAATGCATGAGCCTGTCGTTGGAATAAACCAGTCAAAAATCAATATTTCTTCGAAATATTTCTCAAGTATCTGCTCATCAGTGTCGGAGATGGATGCATACATGTAGGCTTACTGTACAAGAAACATTTTCAAAATACATGTAACAAACATTAAAACAGGGTTGTTGATTTTTTTAATTTAAATCAGATTTTTTTATTTTCATAAAAATTTGAGACAAGTTGGCTCAACTGTCTATTCAAAAGCAAGCAAATTAGCTGCTTGTGTAATAGTTTTCTTTTATTTATTTCTTTGTGGCAAAATTAAACAAATTTGGATTTAAATTAAGAAATTTAAATCAATTAATTTAATAAAATTCATAAACTACCATGTCTTAGCCGTAATGAAATGCATGCAGTAAAACACCCATCAGTACATGTACCCTCACAGAAGACACTTCCTTCAGAGACAAGTACATGCACATCAGGACTAATGCTCATACATGTACACCAAGGATAGAGTGCATACCAGGTTTTTAACTGAACTTGTTTAGTTTTGACAAAAGTAGAGTTCACAAGAATTTTTGTACATGCATCAAATGACTAATGAGTGAGAAACATGCCATGCATTTATTTTGCATGCTACGTGTACACGTGTACTTGTACAAAATGCTGGTATTTTACCTTGCTCTATGTGCAAAAAGCTGCCTCATTTTGTTTGTGATCCAGCTCCACACAGCAATGACTTAGGCTTGATTAAAGATCACATTATTAAGGGCAACATTAAGGACTAACGTTTCTTATCTCAATAAAATACATGTATACTTGTAGAGATGTACATGTAAAAGGTTGATGTACACTGATATTTTACCATATTAAACCATCATGGAGGAAGGACACAGAAGGAGTTTGAACTGCCCAGGCTATAACTTCTGACCAATTAGCGCAAGCTTTCTGTCATGCCTGGTGTTTCCATAGCCAGAGCACAGCGAATGCTTGCTACACACCGCCTGTTTCACAACCATAAGCCCCCTTTGTACCCTATGATCATTGCTGCAATGTTTCACTGGTAATCTGTATCCTTAAAACGTTGTACACTGCAGTATAGGAAGTTGAATATTCATGCCATCGGTGGTGCTTGGTATGACCTGAAAACCACATCAAATTTAATGCTTGCGCAGTTGCTTGTATTAGGCTGTGTACCCTTAGTGTTCATGCACAGTCATTGCCCTGATGGACCGCTTTCTTCTGGAGTTTTGGGAATGAATAGCCAAGTTGTTTATAAGATATTATGTTTTATTTGAATCATTATTATTATGGCATTTATACAAATAGGTATTCCATAAATCTCTTGAGCACTCTGTGTGATGAAATAGCACATTTTGTTTGTCATGAACTTACATGTAACTGTCCAGTGATGGTCAACATGTTGGCCAGTCTTAGCCAAATTTGTAGAAAGACTTTGAAAACTGATGTTTTGGAAAGACAAAATAAAATTACAAACATTGTATGGATAAGAGAACCGCACATCAAAGTAAAAAGGTTATTCTTCATTATTATGCTTCATTTCTCCCCTCACTTGTTCTTTTGGGCTGCGGTTTCTAGCTGACTGGAAGCCAGGCCTGTGCCCAGCTGTGAGAAGTGACCGAGCTGGAACATGCAAACATGTCTGTACAACTGACTTTGATTGCCATGGTAACCAGAAATGCTGCAAAAATGTCTGTGGGACTGCTTGCCAGCGGCCAGTGATTGTTGGGGAATTGGAAGAGGATGCACCGTACCGGTACCTCCAAACTGTTGGTCCCAGTGACCCGCAAAGAAAGACGACATGTATGTGTCAAATGTGGATTTTTGTTTGCTGTTAGAGTTAAAACTTTTCACCTCTGCCTGCCCCAATTTCTACATGTTGCAACTTTGAAGTTGACATGTGCAGACATGTACATGTTCATCCTCACAGACTAGTGTAAGTGGCACAAGAACTGTATTACCACATCATGGCTGAGATGATGCAAAAGGCATTCACAGTTCTCCAGCCTGCTAGTCTGTTTATGTTCAATCGGCACCGGTCCTTCTCACGAAGTGACACTAATGTCCAAAAAGGAATTTGTGTGGATTTCCGTTTTTTTCAGTATTCTCTTTTACAAGTATCGTGCTTGACCATTTTGACATGCTCCTACAAACAAAACATTGTTCATGTCATAGTTACATTAATGTTGCCAGGGGGAAAAACATCTTGAAAACAGCATTTGCATTTTCACGAAGAGACGCAAAAGTTCTTTGAGCATGGACTGTACCAAACGTATTGCAAGGAAACGGCTGAAAAGTAGGTCAACTTGGATTTTCTTTTTCACAAAGTGACATTAGCTTTGTTACATGTGCATTCACAGTTGTGTGCTTGTAAAGACACGAACACCTTCCCTGTGATTATTATACATCGAACAGAAGGACATTCATGTACAAAAACATAATTTTTGTTTTCATGAAGTGATGTTCACCTTTGCTAATTAATTTTTGCTAATTAACCCTTGTTTATACACTAATTACTTGGGTTAAGTAAACGATTAGACATCAAAGAATCATTTAACCCTAACCCTCCTCAATCCTTCACCTGTTGGAGGACTGAGGAGTGTTAGGGTTAAGGAATTTTTGTTACATGATATTTTCACAAAATACTTATTTTGGTAGTTTTACAAAGGATAATCTTCCCTGGCGATTATCTCGAAAACCTGTTTTCCTCAAAATCCACATTAACATCACTTGGTGGTGACTGTGACAAATGTGCATGCATGATGTATGAATATTTTGGGAAAGACCTATATGTTGGATCGTAAAATAAAGTGCAAGACAAGACACCACAACTCACTTGAAGCATTCGAAATTAAACTCTGGCATTTTCCTCCCAAAACTTAATATTACAGTGTACATGTTCATGTATGTAACTGTATGTGCAGGTAGTGTAATGAATTTATCTCTTATCGACATTTATTTCATTGTTTCACAAGTGCCACATGAAGAACTTTGTCCGCAGCCAGTAGAAGACAATTCAGCGCCGCTGTGTGTCGACCCACCACCCTGTAAGATTGACCAGGACTGTGCCATCTTTGAGAAGTGTTGCTTCACTGGATGCAGTTTCATGTGTGTTGCTCCAAAGGGGTTTACAGGTAATGTGGCTGGAATGTACATTTCTGTACGTATATGTATGTACAGTATGTTAGTCCCTCTTGAGTGTGGCCTTATCCTAGTGTTTTATACCTCTTGTGGGGCCCTGGGAAATGTTTGGATTCTAGATGCTCTGCCATACAATCTGAGGCATTTCCTGGCCACTTTCTTCAAATCAAATTTGCTTGTGTTTAGAACTTACCTGCAGTGGTGTATCCAGCGGTTGGAGGGAGACAAGTCGCTCCCACAGAGTTTTTTTTTACAAATAATATTTAATAATAAAAGAAAGTAATTGGTATAATTACATGTAGGACCTACATGCATAAATGTTAGCACCAAAACCCTTAGAAAACAACACCACAAAATAAAAGCAAAGATGTCCAGACTGTGGGTAAGACTTTTGGTATTTTTCTCATCATGTCCAATGAGTCGAAGCCGTATTCCCTTTTGAATTTGCCCCCCCCCCCGCTAAAAACTGGATACGCAACTGCTGACATGTAACATAAAGGCAAGATCTTGAAAGGGAGGGGGTTTGGTCATCAAAAGTAGATTTTTCCTCAGAGGCACTTTTTTGATTAGGTGCCGGTGTATCCTAAGAAAAAAGGGGCCCTCAAGTGTTATGGGAACATACTGTGTGTGTGTGTGATTTAGGTAAACTGGTTCTCAATGTGACAGAGTGAAAATGATATTACATGTACTGGGGAGACTGGAAACAGTCCAGAGTTTTGTGCATACCTGCAATTAATATTTTTATGTGAACGTATCTAGATTTGTTTGATTGTAAATGTTACTTTACTAACGCTGAATATTAATGCTGACAGACTCTTCATGTTCATTCCACTGAGTGTGGTAAACTTCTTTATACATGTACTTCTGTAACAGATGTACTGCCAAGGCAGTTGAGTATGGGGAAAATTTAGTGGCAGAAAAAAGTACAGGGCAGCAAAACTTCAGGAGGACGGCATCATATGTTGGCTGGGCAGTCCACCCTGCTAAGCCCCTCGTTTGGAATACTGACAGTACTTGTCACTTTGTCAGACTTTGATGATGCATTGTGTGAAAGACACATTAGTCATCGATCCTCCAACAAATACATGTACAGTATAATTAAGCTTACGTGTAGAGCCAATGATTTTACGTTTCCAAAATGGGTATTTTCCCTTTTGCAAAATTAAAAAATTCGAATTCAAAATTCAAATTCTGTTTAATACCTTCGTAAGCATGAGAGCAAGTTTTAAACTATGCATAGACACCATTTGCTCAACCATACCCCCCCAAAAAAAAAACGAAAGAAAAGAAAAGAAACAAATATTGTTTGGAAATACTCTTGCAGTGTTTCCAACTTTTTTTTATAATTTCTGTAGTGAAAATTTTTTTAAAAATCCACACAAAAAATGCGGCATCTCCACCCCTTGATTTCCCACCAGTACACGATCGCCCTTGGGCGCGATCATCAAAAACTTCTTACGATTAATCAATGGACAATTCATGTGCCACTCCTTGTGTATAAAATCAGATTACATGTACATGTATCATGAAGCCACCGAGTAGGTCTTGCATGTGACAATTGTTCATCACAATATGTTATTATTAGATATGACTCCACATTTTTATTTGGTAGTAGTGCGACAAATTTCAGAAAGTTAACATTAAATCGGAGCCTTATGTTTGTCATGTTTGTGACAGAAAACTTCACTCTTCATCAAACACTGCTGAGGGTTCATAATGATACACCAAGCTTACTAGGTTTCATTTAATTCGAGAAAAACGTAATTCTGTTTTGCTACCACTGTTTCGTCGTTTTGCCATATGCTACTAGCCTTGTCTCAACGCGTCTGTGCAAATTTACAGACTGGATTCCCCACATGTGCAATAATCATATGTGTGAGTATGAACTTGTTTGCCCCTTGATTTCATTGCTAGTATGGTGCACATGTGAACGGCCAGTGTGTGTGCCGTACTGTGCCACTGTGTACTGTGCCACTGTGTACTGTGCCGGCTACAAATTTTCTTTTCCAGGTGGGTGAGTCAAAAGGTATGAATTATTCATAAGACCTACTGCTGAACTAAACTCCAGTGACCCATCATACAGTATACTGCCGGCTGCCACTGAACGCATGGAGTTCACGCATGCCATAACGCTTGCAAGTATC